CTGTGGTGGCAGGAAAGGTGAAAGGAAATTGCAGCCTCAGCTGGATTGGAGAAGAAGGGGGGAGGTGGTCTCTAGGAAGATAAGCTGTTGTTTTAAGGGCTTCAGACATATTAGATGACCACCATAATAATTCAGCAATTCATACTAGGGCCAGAACCTATCAGTAATCATATAATATGAGCCATCTTGTGTCTGGTGTCTTTTTTAAAAATTAAAAAATATATATATTTAGTACAGGGTCTCATTACACAGATCGGATTTATAGTGATCCTCCAGTTTTCAGTCTCCCAAGCACTGGATTACAGGTGTGGGCCACCATGCCGAATCTCAATCGCTGTCTAAGCTCGCCCTGGGGGCGGGACTAGCACATCAGGCTGGGGATCCAACCCCAGTCCCTGCATCTGCCTAAGCAGGTACTTTAGTCCACTGAGCTATCTGGCTGGCCTGTGTCTGGTGTCTTTCATTGAACATGTCTTCAAGATCTGTCCAAGTTGTAACAAGCATTAATACTTCATTATTTTTTTATGGCTAAGTAATTTTACATTGAAATCGATATACTATAAATTGTGTATCTATTTACAGTTGATGGACAATGAGGTTGTTTGTTTTGTTTAGCTATTATGAAAAATGATTGTGTGACTATTCAACTAGAAATTTTTGTATTAAGATGTTTTTACTTCTTGTGCATGTATTCCTAGAAGTAGAATTACAGATCATATGTTAATTACATATTTCTGAACAATTGTTGACTGAAATATTTCCAAAGCTGCTGTATAATTTTTCTTTTCACTAGCAATGTATAATGTTTGCAGTTCATCCATATTTTCTCTACCACTCATTTTCCCTTAAAAAAATAACCAGGGATGAGGAGATAGCTCAGTGGCATAAGTACCTGCCTGGCAAGCACAAGAAGTACAAGTTCCTGTGTTCAATCCCTAGTACCACCCTACCCCCTCCAAAAAAAAAAAAAAAGGCACAATGTCAGTTATCCAGGGGATTTGAGGCTGGCAGAGAAGAAACTAAACCAACATCATCCAATAGAAAATAACCATCTCCTAGGGGGTGTGGTAGTATTTCATTGTGGTATGATTTGAAGTAACTGTAACTAATGGTGTTGAGTATCATTAGCAACAGCATGTGTTCTTTGGCTGTTTGAATGTCTGTGGAGAAATGTCTTTTCAAGTCCTTTGCTTATTTTAACTTTTTATAGTTGAGTTCTAAAAAGTTTATTGCTTTGGAGAATCAACCCATATCAGATACGTGGTTTGCAGATATTTCTTAAATCCTATGGATATTTTTTTTTTTTTTTTAGCGTTTTGATATTTTTGATTACACAGAAATTTTAAATTTGATGTAGTTCTCTTTTTCCTGGGTTGCTTAATGCTGTTGCTGTCATCAGAGAAATCATTGTCTGATCACAAAGCTTTTTTCCCTATCTTTTTCTGTGAAGCAAGAAGATATGGGAGGTTAGTTAGAACTCGTACAGATCAGAAATAGTTAACTTAAAGTTAGGGCTTAAGTGAGTTAATATACTAAAGGGCAAAATAATTAAGGAAATTAGGAGAAGTCTTTTTTTTTTTTTTTTTAAGTCTTTCTAATAAACATTTTTGGCCACTGCTTACTTCTTGCTGTTTTGTAGGCTTCAATCTTTTTATCCCAAAACAAGAACCCAAGAGGTAGAGGAAGCTGGTTGCATTTTTACTTTTATGATTTGAACCATTCCAAGTTAGTTTTTATGTGTGGTGTTAACTAGGGGTCAAACTCCAGTATTTTACATGAGGATATCTATGTGTCTTCCCACATCTTGGCATGGTGTTTGATTACTATGTCTTTGGGAACTGGTTCTGCCACCATTGTTTCTTTTTTTTCTCCAGGTTTTTTTTTTTGTTTTTTTTTTAAAAGATAGCTCTGGCTTAATAGGGTCCTTTGTAATTCCATATGACTTTTGAGATCAGTACAGCAATCTTTTTATAAAACTGGCAGTTGGAATTTTGATATTATGTTGAATCTATATATTAGGATAGGGATTATTGCCATTTTAGCAATATCCAGTCTTCCAGTTGGTAAACATGTATTTCAGTGTATGGCTGAGTACATCTTATTAATTATTTTTCATAGAACTCATTGCCATTATACATACTATGCTCACTCATTCACTAATTATTTTCATTCCTTCATATGTTATGCTAAAATATAAGCACCACCAGAAGACATGGATTTTGGTTCATTTTGATATTTCTGTATTCTTAGTATCTGGAAAATTGCCTGACAATAAGAACTCAAATTTAAATATGTACTGAATGAATGAACTTTGTGAATTCTGGAGTAATTAGTTTATGTATAATTTTGTTTTTAAGAATATCTCCCAAGAGTTGGGAATGTAGTTTATTGGTAGAGCATAGAGCATGTACTTGTGTTTCTTGAAGTCTTGGGTTCAGTCGCCAACATTAAAAACAAAAGCCTTGCTATTTTTAGTATTTTTTGTATACTTGAATCTCCATAGAAATCTTGTACTTTGTTTTTTAAATTTATACTGTTTTTCACACTTCTTAGGCTTTTTGTCTCTATAATAGTTTCTTGATTGAACTAATAAAACATTCTAATTATTTCTCTCTCTCTCTCTCTCT